ATCATTACTAATCATCATAACTTGTATTAAATCATTACTTAATATTTAATAAATACTGATTTTGTTGTATTGCCAATTACCTGCTTTCTTTGTCTTTTTGTCTATCCGATTATTTTACATTTCAGGCATAATAATTTGGTTTGTACTTTAGTTCAACCTGCCGTCATCGCAGGACTTTCCCGATTTAGTTACAAAAATCGGTGGCGCACGAATCCACGAACCGGGCACGTGGACACTTTAACAAACTCGGTTGAACTAAGGTCGCAATCCAAATAAGGGTACATTTTGGTAATTGATTTTTATTACGTAAAATAAAAGTGTTACAACAGGACTCATGGAAATTGTTAATAGTTCCACAATCGGATCTCTGGGGGGAACAGAAGGCGATCAAGTTTATGAAAACATCAGCAAACAACATGAAGATTGGAACGTGGAATGCAAGAAGTATTTTTGCACCGGGAAAACTGGTGAAGGAAATGTTAAGACTAATTGTGGATATTTTGGGAGTTACTGATGTGATATGGCCAGGATGTGGCAGCTGCGCAAGAAATAACGGCATATTCTATTACTCTGGGAATAGTGACCCGAAGTATTTATATGCAGTTGGAGTGATTTAAACAAAACATTTCCAGTTTCGGTGTAAAATTTTACATCTTAGACAGAGTCATGATGCTTCAACTCAACTTAAAACACATACAGGAGATATGAACATAATACAGACGTATGCACCAACAACGGATGAGGAGGACGACGAAATTGAATAAATTTTAAACTGAACTTGATGCTATCTTTAGAAGCATGAAGAGTTATAATATCACAGTGGTTATGGGAGATTTCAAGGCCAAAGTAGGCAAAGTCAAGGTCGAAGCACACATAGGGAGGTTTGGCATGGGAGAAAGGAATAATAGGGGGATCGACTGGCAGAGTTCTGTCAAGTTAGAGATGCTATGATAACAAATATCTTCTTCAAACTACCAGATCGTAGACTGCACATCTGGAAATCCCCTGCAGATAACCCAAAAAATACATTAAAAACCAAATAGACTAAATCCTCATTAACAACTGCTATAAGAACTCTGCAAGAACAGATCCAAGTATTGACAATAATTCCGACCACAACCCAGTTTCAGTTATAGCTAAACTTAATATAAAGATGAAAAAAATAACAAAATGTCGCAACAATTATATAGACCCAAAACTCCTTAAGAATTCTAAAATCCATGACATAGTTAGGAAGTAGGCCAGCAAATGTCTAAGAGACATTAATACATCGAATGAAGTCAGTGTGGATGAAAAGTCGATCAAATAGAAACAGGGCTAGAAACAATAGCTATAAAACATCTAACAAGTAAATGAATCAGGAAAAAGCCCTAGATAACATCATAAATTTTAGATCTTATGGAAGAAAGGAGAAATATCAAAGGCAGTAAAGATGAGTAATGTTCTACATAGAGCATTACAGAGAAAAATTAAGGAAGCAAAAGAAGAATACCTAGAAGGTCAATGTGAGGAAATAGAGGTAGGTACTAGAAAAGTAATTTGACAGCTTCCACATGCATGAAAAGATAAAGGAAATGGCTGGATGCAACATGATCAAGGTAGCTAGTGATATTCAGCCTTATGTAGTAAGTACATTGACTTCCATTTCAATATTGAAATAATTTCAATAAATTTTGTCTTTCATTTCAATATTGAAAAAAAAAAACTGTATGCTGTAAGTACCCTTGATTAACTTTATTGAAATAAAAAAACCTTGAAATTAATGTCAAGTTTTTATGTGGCAACATTGTAAAATCATAGAAAAAGAAGAGTTTTTGAGGGGTTTCTAACCTAAAAATGCAAACTGGAGGTTCGTTTTGGTTTTCCTAGCTAAGTCTAATTTTAAATTTTACTTTCTTTATCCTTTTTGTGGATTTAGAGTGAGTGGAAATTTATTCTTGAGCTTATAAAAAAATCCAAATAGATCATTGGCAAATTAGAACATGGGTAAAACAATGCTTTTGGGTTTATATTCGAATAGATTTTGAGGGAATGGAAATCCAAAATCGAGAGCGAAGTCGAAAGCCAGACGAATTTATTTTGTATAAAGATGGAAATACATAGTGAACATAACTAGGTCGAGACTTAGGTACAGGGTGTAGGTGTGGCAGGTATTCACAATAGGGTACTTGCATGGAAAATTAAATTGATTATACAACTCACTGTACATTATTCCCATATGACACGAGAGGCTTAATAAGTGATAAGCCTTTTGGGATTATCGCGCTTGGTGGCAATATTGTTCATTTACTATTAATAATAATAAAAATTAATAAAGCATTAAAGTTTAGTTCGTTGTATAACCTTTTGAATACCACTCGATGTTTCAGGATTACCTAATACTTTTACCTGACACTCAACGCGTTACCAGCAACACTACTCCTCCTTCGGAGTCGTGGTGTTGCGCGTAACACGTTTAGTGACAGGTAAAAGTATTATCCGGCAATCCTGAAACCTCTTGTGGTATTACATTCGAGAATTTCATACATCTGTCAAAACTGGTATTCCTACAATAAATTGACAGGTTTTGATTGTTGATTTGAACCAATCAGATTTGAATTACGCGATAATTTGCACTAGTGCAAATTATCAGATAATTGCATAGTAACTGGTGCGAAAACTGGTGTTTTGACAAAAAATTTAAATTTTTGATTTATGAAATTCTCTCATTAAATACAACTCGTGCAATGGAAATATATTTATAATTTTCGACAAATTTGCACTCATGCGCTTTTAACTGAAAAAGGCACTCGTCCACTACGTGCACTCGTGCTCTTTTTCAACTGAAAATGCATTCGGGTAAATTTCCCAAAAATTATCAATAATTTCCATTGCACTAGTTATATTACTATTGAGAATTTCATACATCTGTCAAAACTGGTATTCCAACAATAAATGGACATGTTTTGATTGTTGATTTGAACCAATCAGATTGTAATTACGCGATAATTTGCACTAGTGCAAATTATCAGATAATTGCATACTAACTGGTGCGAAAACTGGTGTTTTGACATTTTTTGACAAAAAATTTAAATTTTTGATTAATGAAATTCTCTCATTAAATACAACTCGTGCAATGGAAATATATTTATAATTTTTGGGAAATTTGCCCGAATGCATTTTTAGTTGAAAAAGAGCACTCGTGCACGTAGTGCACGAGTGCCTTTTTCAGTTAAAAACGCATGAGTGCAAATTTGTGTATCAATAATTTCCATTGACTAGTTATATTACTATTGATTATTATTTATTGCAAACTGTAGAAAAAATCGTTACTTTTTTTTAATTTCGCCCAAATATGATTATTCCGGAAGTTATACAAATATTAAGTTTTGTATATATAGATATATTGAGCATGTGCAACGTCACTAATTTATATGATAAGTGACGTCATAGGCATATTTCATAGGGTTGTATCTCCGTCAATTTTTGACTAAGAAGAAAAAGAGAAAACACGTGTTGACTTATTTTTTATGGACTAACGAAATCAGCAAAAAAAAAAATTGATGCAAGTACCCTATTATTTCAACTTATCTAATTTTGTTTTTAGGAAAATCCATTGATGTAATAAACATACATGAAAAAAAATCAAGGGTCTAAAAATTTATTTTTTCTGTGACGAGAAAAAAGTAGAGTTTTTGTACCTGTTGACGGGCAAAAATGCCACTTTTTCTCCCATGGGAAAAAAGTGATTTTTTTTCCCACGGGAACAAAGTAACAGGTACCAGTCAATTTTTTTTTCCGAGGGAAAAAAGTAACAGGTACCAGTCAAATTTTTTTCTCAAAGGGAATAATGTATAGATGGAAAATGTTGAGATTTTCCCGTCACAGAAAAAAAAAGTGTATTATACATGGGAAAAAAGTAAGATTTTAGCGCTCGCTGTGTTGTCTCCCGACGCGAAGCGGAGGAAGACAAACCACACCTCACGCTAAAATCTAGTACTCTTTTCCCTTGTATAATAAATACCTATTATTTGCCATAGAAATAAGTTTGCAAGTCCAGAATAAATTAATTAATAATCTGATAATACTTTAAATAAGTAGGTAAATATAAACATAACCAAAATATCCAGATGTATTTATTATTAATTTAAGGACAATAATTTTCCACCATTTTTGAACCCGAAGAAAACCGGCAATAAATCGTCAACAAGCTGGAGAAAACAGAAATCCGGCGAGCCAAGAATAAACCAAGAACAAGAAGACACACACAAAGTCAATATTATCTTTGAAATAGAAGCATCATTGATTTCGATGATGAGTGATGAGGAATCTACGAGTGCTACGACCGTAGGGGCAGGCGCAGACAAGGCAGCTTTTCTCTTTATTCTCTTCTCCTTTCTCTAAAAGAAAAAAGTTGTCAGTGTTTTTATTCACCTGATGCTACTCTATGGGCAGAAGAACAACGCATCTTGATTTTTGAGCCTGGATAGACAGAAAAGCATCCCAGAGAGCATTCATACGTCAAGTCAGAGCAGACGGTAGGATGATGAAGATCATTACAGTATATGACCAAGAAAATCGATCAAAATCCATTATTTCCAAAGACATGGATCCAAAGACCCTGACAAGCATTGTACTGCTGATAGTAAGGAGATGGTGGAGATTTATGGATGAAATCATTATCGATCTGAGAGGAGGTATATAAGTAGAAGAGGAAGTCGTACATTTTGATAGGGTGGAGGCTTATCACCAGAATAAATGGTCTGAAAGGGACGATCTCAGAAACCGATAACGATTGAATAAACAAGCATTTACGCGTGATTCAAGAGATTTCTCGATAGATAAAGCGCGTAGTTTGTAGGTCAAAAGTCAGCTTGAATAAGAGAATTTTTGTAAAGTTACAGTTAAGGAAAAAAAATCCATTTAGTTTGATAAAAGTTATTGTTGTTTTTAGTGAAAAGAATTCAAGCGGACCCGCGGAAATTCGTGAGAATTAATTTCTACATTTTGCTAGAATTCAATTAATGTTTATAATATTTAAATAAATTGTAAACATAGAACTTACCTGTTTCAAAGAATATTTTTAGCATGCAATAAAATAAAATAGCAATTATTCCATAGAGGAGCACAAATAAAGTAAACAACTTGTTTCTTTTAATGACTTTGTCCCAATTTGAAGGTTCGCCATATTTTGTTGTGTCCGAAATGCTAAAGTACAATTTAGAGAGATATTCAGCTAGGTAATCAAATCTATTACAAATGTATATATAATTGACGACGGAAACGAATACTGCTAAATCTTCGGCGGTATCGGTTTGAGCATTATCTGTAAATTAAGTAATTATCATTAGTTAGGTAGGTATACTATTTTTCAGCAGTTTTTTTTTAAATTTGGTATAGTCTATCTGGCAACTCTAGCTGTCTGAGCTTTCCAAAATAATTTCGAAAAACTTACTCTTTGCGAAGAAATATGCATGAAGAAAACTTTGAAGTAGTAGTATCATAATTATAAGACCTCGAATTATAATCGTTCTACATTTTCGAAATATGGTATTATTATCAGCTACAGGATAATAATGTGTAAATTGAAGGTAACGCAAACTGTGATAGAACGGCTTATTTTTTCTGGGCATATACATTTTGCAATTGAAACTTGAACTGAAATTCCTCCTAAGACTATAATATACCTATTTATATAAATATATATTTTTTAACCCTCTTTTATCTACAAATACATGCAAGAGTTTGGTTTATTAGAGAGTGCCTACCTATCTATTACAATTTTTTCTATAATTTGACTGAAAGTATACTCTGTCCGAAAAGTGTGTGATCTAAAAGGTCTCAACCAAAAATTAGAACTCTCGGGTCTCATCAAAAAAACACTTATTTTCTCGCTAGACGTAGCAGGAGCAAATTATAGTAGCAGCCTTTTATTTTTCCGAAAATGGATGAAAGAATCAGTGATTAATAAAGTTTTGAAAGGAAATAGTGCACTCCCTTGAAGTTCTTGTTCTAATGACACGAATAACTATTCGTTACTTACCTACGTCTTACGGCTAGTAAGAACTTCAGTCGATTTATTTTCCTAAAACTTAAAAAAAACCGTCTTAGTATAATACATACCTACCTATTCAAATTTCTTTAGCTGATTCACCGACTAACTTTTTGTCCAGAGTATACACAATATGTAATTGATTAACTACTGTGACCACGCACGTGTTTAGCATAATGAATAACAGACGGGAAAAGTCAAAGTAAGAAATATGAATGTTTAATTCTCTGTATTTGAGTTCCCTTCAATTTCTGTTCAAAAAGAAGCAACCTGATGCTATATAATTTTTGCCTTATTGCCTTCCTTGATTCTTTGTTAAACCAAACTTGAAACTTTGTAGGCTGAGAATTTTGTAGACAAAGTTTTATATGACTAATTCTAGATTTCTAATGTAATTGAAAAAACATGAGATAAAACAGACCTTTGTCTATAGGTACCTACTCAACTGTGTAAGTAAATTCACATACCTACCTACTACACCTCATTCAATTTTGATCTTCCGCATGCATAGATAAATGCAATGAAACTGCTGCCGGAGATTTTACATTTTCATTCGTTACTCTTTCCAGCTTTGATTTGCTGTTCCTCATGAGTAAAAGACATCCGATAAGTTGAAAATAAGTTCGGTTATAATTTGTAGATACACTAACCGTGTTCATGTCAACTTTTTCGTCGATTTGCTTTGAAATTTTGACAGGCACGTGATTTGTAAATTGAAACTGTGTGATCTAGTCACGTGCCTGTCAAAAGTTCGGAGCAAATCGACGAAAAAGCGCCACCCTCCCATTTTTCCCCTGAAGCAAGATACACAAAATAGGGTGGTCAATAAGAGTGTCAGTCTAGCTACTTGCCGCTGTGTGGTCGTGCAAGTTCTTAAAGTATGAAAAAAAAAGGGCGCCAGTGACCCTTGTTATAACCCCACATATTTTTACCTACTTCTTTATGTACATTAATAATAGGTTATTTAGGTTAAGCTTCCTATTCTATATGTTACAATTTTCCTTCTTCTATTCTTCTCATCATTAAAATAAACTACAGAATTTAGACACAACACTTAATAATGACGAGATAATTGAAAAATATTTCAAAGATACTAAGATTTTCATACCTCAAATACAAGCAAAGAAACCTATTAATAAAGGTAAAGAAATTAAAATAAATGATGAACATAAAGATATTCCATTGTCCAAATCTACTTGTTCAGCAGATTCACCACAAAGAGAAAAAAAAAACCCAAGATTAAAATCTCGTCTCAGGTAAAAATACCTCTGAAAAGATTGAACAAAAATTCAATTGAAAAAGATATAATTGAAGAAGACATGATGAGGATACAATTGAGAATGAAATAATCGAAAACGATTAAACTATTCAGACTTCTCTTGAAAACCCTAGGAGCCCCTTAAACAAAAAAACATGTCAATCTTTTTGCTAATCAAATAACTTTTAGATACCCTAATAATAATGCTATTCGCAAAAAAAGTATTATACCATTTCCTAACAAGACACTAATAACATTGTTTTTACCAAATGACCCATTTGAGGATTAAATTATTAAATTGATAAAGGAATATCTTCCACCAAATACGTATTGTATGTATTTCCACAAAAAAACGTTAGGACCTATTATATTAAGAGTTCTAAATACATCATTCAATTCGAATTCGTTCAAGTTATGTATGTCCAATTCCTTTGTCGAAGACATAACAGAAACTGATGAACAGCAAGAAAAAATTAAACTATACCATGAGACTAAAACATCTCATCGCGGAGTTACAGAAAATGTTTCATCTTTAAAGAAACGATATTATTGGCCTAATTTAGAAAAAGACGTACAAGCATATGTCAAAACATGTGAAATATGTAATAAGACAAAATATGAAAGACAACCCTACAAAATAATATTCAAACAAACTCCAATCGGTTCAAAACTCTTTGAACACCTTTATATTGATACATAAGTTGTTTCGAATCAAAAATTCCTAACAATTATTGACAGCTTTTCGAAGTTTGCACAAGGTATCCCAATTATTAGCAAAACTTCAGTTGAGATTGCATCACAATTAATAAGATATTTCAATGACCATGGAATTCCACAAAGAATTACTTCTGATAACGGAACTGAATTTAAAAATGTAAAGAATTTAAAAAGGAAGGTTAGTATTATTCTTCTTCATCTTCCTCTTCTTCTAATAAAATTAATGTTATCAAATCGCCGTAATCCATATTTTTTAATAAACCCCGCAAAAATTTAAAATGACAAAAATGCTACAGTCCGCAGTCAACGGCTGCCTAGAACTGCGTCACCGAAAACATCTTTTCATCGCGGCTACAGCTGCCGCGGCCAGCATCTCTAGTCGCGCAGCTCGAGCAGCACCACCGAAATCGCACCTTTACAGGTTACACACCTTGTGCAATCTTTAGTAAAATTTGGACTTTTCAGTCTTTGAAGAAAGAAAAAAAAAATACTATTTCAAGGCTCAGTGTGAGATAAGTGGACTGTATCAAATCTTTTTAAATGCAAATAAAATGGAGGTTTTGAGACCTTACCTTGAACTTCTGGCTTCCATGTAGAGGTGTCCACGGACACCTTTTTCACACACACACACGTTTTCCGGACTGGCCAGTCGACGCGTTTGTTAGTTCTGTTTCAAAACCGTGAAAATCGGCAAATTAAACAATTAGTTGCGGGTTCTCTATAAATTTATGCGGGTAAACTATTAAAAATTAAATGCGGGTTCTCTATTAAAAGTTTTTGGGGACAAACAATGTCGTTTGGTTGAAGTTCGTTCTGCTTCTCTCTTCGGCTAATAGCAATATTTTTGCTAGCACCAAAGTAGTTTTTTGTCCTTTTTCACCGCACGCGCGCCATATTCCTTTAAAGGCCTCAAAACTATTAGACTTGAATTTATGAATAATGATACACAGTGAGCCAAGAAAAGAAGAGAGTTAAATGTGATTGATTAAACATATTATTTTAAATGAAAACAGAACACACCTTTCCAAATAATTAAAGGCGATTTAAATTATTCAATACCTACCTATTGAAAATTCCCAAAACAAGAAAACCACAGATTATATCAATAATCTTGCCATTAGAAACTCTAAATAATGTAATTTATGACAAATTAATTTCGAAACAAAAACAAAATTCAGAGAAAATCAATAAGCAACGTGAAAAAGAACCTGAATTAAAGGATCCTATTTTCATTAAGCAATTTGACAGAAATAAAATTAGTCCTCGATATGGTACTAAAACACAAGTCAGATTTAGCAAACAAATGGTAAAGCGACAACATTTTGTTTCAGGAAAACCAAAATGTTCTTGGCAGCTTTCATAATCCTCCTCATAGGAATTTCCAGTAACGCCTACACGTCAACTCCATTAAGAAATCCTATTTTACCGATTTCTTATAGGAACCACTTACATCCCAACACAACATAACACTGCATGTTATCACATAACTTTAAAGAATTTAAACAATACTTTAAATCTAACCAAATGGCCTAATAGAGACGAAATTATTACTTTATTACAGGTAAATATTGGAACTAGTCAATCACGTATCAATACATTGAAGAAATTTGTAAAACAATTCTTACACGAACAACGAAATAAACGTGGAGCATTCAATTTCATAGGTACAGCACAAAAATGGCTGTATGGAATATTAGACGCAAATGAGGGCGATAGATATGATTCTTACATTAAAAAATTAAATGAGAATCAGCAAATTATCGATAAAAATCTAAAAGATCAAACAATCATACTTGAACAAGTAACGAAAACATTTCATGGTGAATTTTCAAATATCGAAAATAATCACATAATATTAATTTCAGATAAGATAAGAAATATTTCGACGGATAATCAAAATATTCAAACTATCTTAATGATGAATCTAATTTCAGCAAACATTAATATGCACAGTAGTGAATTACGCGAGTTTATTAACTACATACAAAACGCAATCAGTTTTGTACGCGCAAGCATAATGTACTATACGATAATGTAGCATAATGAAATGAACTTGATCTTGAAAAACATACCCACAAGTCAACAAATACCGTTTGATAACGTAATTAAATACTATGAGACAATCCTCTAATGTAATAATTCAAAAGGAACTAATTACTTTTACTATATTTACACCAATAATTAATCCTAAACCTTTTATATTGTATAAATTATTTCCTATACCCATCCAAAACTATACAATTAGTGTTAAGTATCCTTACCTTTTACTTACCACAGACACGTATTACAATGCTTTACAAAAATGTCCAAATATTGAAGACAATAATTTGTGCAAAATGGAACTATCGAAACAAGATGAGCCCTGCGTTCACGATATTGTATCTAGTGAACAATAATTATGCCCATTCATGAAAACTCAATATGAAGAATCGACAGTTGAAGAAATAGGTACCCATTAATCAAATATTGGTTATTCCAAAACGATATGTGACAGCAATGCTGCAATGTGACCAGAAGAAATACATGGAAATCATTTCCAGTCAAATCGTAATTTCCGAAGGTAAATGTTCAATAACAATTACCAATCGAACATTTTTGGAAGACACGCATTAGAACTTCAACCTAGAACTAGAACTACCCATCATCGACATTCCTGAACTTCTAGAGAATACCACAACTGTAAGACTAAAAGCAGTCGACTATGAAGCTCTTCAATCAGCGATTAGCAATTAGAGTCTGGTATTTTTTTTGTAACTTCTTAGTTTTTAATAAAATAAATAGTTTTTAAAAACAAGATTTACTGAACGAAAAATATAATTGGCACAACAACAAGCCAGCAGAAATTCTCTGATGACCAACAGTCAGACAACGTTGTCAACAGAACGGTGAATAAAGCAACATGATGCTATCCACTAACAACAAAACAAAAGTTCAGTTTCTAGGTGTATGTTGATAGAGTTTCTAAAGAACAATTTTTCAGAAGGTTTAATTTTTCAATGTGGTCGAGACTTACTTTCGGGCCTTGAATCAACTTTATTTGTCTAGATTTAAATAATTTTTAATGTTATTCGATTTTTAGCAATTGTCGAGTTAAAGCAAAAGGGTAAATATAAATGTTGAATAAAATATACCGAAAACAAGAATACAGTCCAAAATCTGATCTGTCGTGCCCCGACAACCACCTTTTGATTTGCGCCGAAATTTTGACACGCACGTGATTTGTAAATTGAAATTGTCTGATCCAGTCACGTGCCTGTCAAAATTTCGGAGCAAATCGACGAAAAAGATGACAATAATGAACACGGCCTTTATAGTTTTTTTTAAACTATTTTTTCCAAGTAAACATCAAACAAGAATTAAGTATACAAATATTTTCTTTGGGGTGGGATATGAATATAGGTATATGGGACGAAATAATAATACAAAAATGCATATAATTTTGAATAATTTTATTGTCTTTCCATAAATCCTCTAATATAAACTATATAAAAAGAGAGCGTAAAAATTATTGTCAAAGCGACTCTAACAGTAAATTTTTTGTAAGTGTAAAGCTTAATACACTCTGTAAAAGTTTGAATATTATTGTTAGGTACACTTTTATCATTAAAAAAGTTTACAAAGAACATCACAAATATTATACTGGTTTCAAAATTGAGACATGAGGCGAAAAACTACCTAACATAAATGGATTGGATTATTCGATAAGGGTTTTTCTAGGTATTTTATTGTCGTTATTATTTTATTGTCGTTTTTTTGATTTTAAAACACCAGCCTAAAAGGTTTTTTTACTCCAAATGCAAATCTATAGATTAGATAATTATGAATAAATTAACGGTTTTTTAAACAGTAATGGAGGTAGTTTCCTTTTAAAAACTAAGTACTAAATTAAATAACTTAAGTTTTTGAATCATTTGAGCAATGAAATTTAATAATTTGTATTAGTATAGGTAATAATTTGTTTATTTATATCCTGTTCCCAATCCGATGTCCACAGGTGCAGGTAAATTTATCACCTTTCCCTATCAAATAGCATTGAAAGGTGATTTTACCTGTACCTACCTGTGGACATCGGATTGTGAACGGATAATACACATAGTTATGCGTTGCTAACTTCGTAGGCCAATTAGTCAAACCAATCCATCAAATTTGCAGCTAAAATACACAAAAGTCGGTTTATCATGCAAAAAGTTTTAGGGGAGAGGTTAGAGAGAATGACTGATCTAAATTGTCCATTCCTTCCCGATGTACCGGGAATAGAAGTTGCTAAAGAAGTTTGGAAATTTTTGTTCCAGATATAGCAGAAATTTGCAAATATCTACACCTTCCCTGGTACTCTTGCTAGGACAAGCTGACCTTCAATAGATACTATGTCTAATCTTCGACTTAAAAATTCAAGATACCTACATGTTTGATGGCGTGATTTACAATTTTAAGACGAGCTTGAAACAAATCAAAATCTTGATAAGGGCTTATTATAAGTAGTCTTTATATAGGCAAATCAGAGAATGTTTGAACTTTTTACTGGATTAAATAATTTTATGAATAATAAAGCAAGTGTTCTTCCTAAATGGGGATTTCAAAAGCGTAAAATTTGAAATTATCTCTTGCTTGCTGTTGTATCGTTTGCCATAAACTTTAATTGGGGCATAAAAGCAAGCAAAATAAGGGATTAGAATATTGTTAATGTCTGCGGCAGGGTTGGGAGTTGGGCTTTAATAGAGGATCTTGAGATCAGACGCAAACGGAGTTTATCGATTCTAGATATTCATTCTTAAGTTTGAATTTAATTGAAATTGAAAATGTATGCTTGTTGTGGAGAGGATTTAACTTTTCATTGATAACTAACGAACAAATTCAAATAAGTCGCCATTTTCCAGACTTCTTTCCACCAATAAAAATTTGAGATCTTAATCCCCGGGATTTAATTGCCAACCAAGCCGCTATAAATGATGTTTGTAGTGCGAACATGGTTTCTATCAAAGCCCTGCCCAAATCAGAAATAGAAATACGTACATTACACATATTATCTTCATTTAAATTTCTAAAAAACGAATTTATTTTTCAATCTTTTCTTTTGTAGTGTAGATAAGATCTTTTGAGAAATTTGCCTTATTTCACCTCAGAAAGAGCCATTTATCATGATTTTGTTGTCTTAAAATAAGCTCTCATAATAATAACTAAATTTTTCAATATAACTTTGAAATCACTCTACAAAAATTACATATAAGACCTAGTTTCAAGAGAATGGGTTCTCCTTTTTTTTGTAAATTATTGTCACTCTATTATATTATTGTCCTAATTAATTTGTTTTTTCTTAAAGTTGAGCTTAAATTTGAATTAGTTACTAAAATCTGTACTGTCCATAACAGCTTCAAATTATTCTCAATACAAATTCTGGCTCTAATAAACATTTATACAGTTTAAATGTGTATAACAATTATTGTATATAATAGACATCTTGTTTTTGGTATTCTATAGACTATTTGTAGCAATGGCTAATTAGGATAGAGAAGATTAATTAAAAACATGTCAGAAAAACAATGATTTTTTAACATATATTTTCACATACCTACAATTAATAATTACGATATTTTTTATTTCTAAAATAATTATAAATGATGTAAACCTCAATGAATAGGATTGTGTTGTAATGGACCACACCGTATATTTTTGATAATAATATTTTGATGATTGTTAATTTTTTTAGGTCTAAATTATTCTTTTGATATATTTTTTTCAATATGTTCGTTTCAATTTTAAAGTAGCCAAACTTTTTTGATACATTTTCCTTAAAGCTAGATATTTTTTAAAATCAATGTATTCTTTATTTTTTTTTTCATAAGTTTTTGATGATTACATTTCGTAATATGTATTGTGCTAGTCTATCACAGTTTTATCTCATAGAAAACAAATCTCGACAACTCAGTGGAGTTTTTAATGGAAAGCATTTCTAAACTGTTCAGTCTAGATTAAAATTTCTCATTCCCACTAAACAGTTTTTTAAATTACGCTAATAAACGTTACGACTAATATGTAGAAAATTTCTTTTAATTGACATACCTTTTAGCTAATAATAATTAGGAAACCGGGTACATTTATAGCCTAAGTTGAGCAAGCGATGAGTATCTAAAATATCACTAAATATACTGCCTATAAGGTACTAAAGCATTTTCAAGGTAGGTATCTACTATTCTAAAACCAGTCTACTTCAAATATCTTTATTTTTGGTAATTTTTAGAGGCTTAGAAATAATTTTTTGTGGATTAAATATAAATATTGACTACCTATGCAATAAAATTTGAGATTTTTTGAGATTTAAATGGATTGGATTTCAAATTCTGATTCTAGCTAAATCATTCATAAAAGAATCCAAACATTCTATAAAGGAACTGGAAACTGGATAGCTTTATAAAAGTCCAAGATAACATGCTCACGCTGTTTCTTTAGTATTCGGATCTACATGAGAAATTTCCAACATGTCCCAATTAAATTGGTCATGGCACGGTTAATAAAGAACCAATTTTCTAGAGTGAAGCTTTTATGCAAATCTGGTAGCTCAACTTTTCAGATTTCAGCGTTCATGGTTGACTTTTTTCGAAAACTTTGAATAATTTCAAGAGTCTGAAATATCGTGAATTACGGCTCACGTCTACATTATCCATATCATAATCATTATTTTCTTTTGGAAATTCACAGTTGAATTCAATGGCGTTTTTATTTTGGAAAGATGAGAATAAGTTGGAAAACCTATAAAAGCAACTTTTTTTAAATATTGTCCAATGTCTACTGGTAAGTAAAACGTTGCCAAAAGTTATTTATCACTGTATTACGTAGGCGAGCTTGCAGAAAAATGAGGATACTCTTCCGAACTTAAATACACTTTATTCCAAACAGTAACACAGATCATATAGCACTATCACAAAACTTCATAGGTACCATCAGCACTAGGATTATTTGTTCACAAAACTATATCAATGTCACACCGCATCTTGACCCTGTCACTGCTCTGACCTAGTCTGTTCCTGAAGAAATCCTGAACTATAACTACTCAGGGTCTCTCCTGACGGATGTAAATTGGAAGTACTATTTCATCTTATAGCTAGTGAAGTGTGTAGCAGCCTGTGGTACGCTTACCTGTTATCAAATGCTGGGCTCTGTACCGAGGGCTGCTATACCGACTCTCGAGCGGCGTTGTCGGCTCAAGTACCCTATCCCACATCCTCCCTTTTCACCAAGTGAGTGTCTTTTCAACTTAGCACTCGAGTCGAATTCAACGCGACTAGTCTTAAACCATTGTTTATCCTATTTACCCTGGGTGTTATGGATAAAACTACACACTAATTCACTATATACACTGTACAGGGTGCTGCAATTTGGACTGTTTTAACAGGAAAAACACACTTCCAGACCAGATAGAGGAAAATTGACTTAGATGTCATGGGATCGATTTTCGAGAAACGTCGATTGTCAAAAACCGTATCGCGATATCTTCAATGGTACCATTATTACAGGGCGATTTTCAATTTTCCCCTATTATGAAAAATGGCTATAAGTTTTTTATTTATCAATTTTTTTCATTTCTGTTAAAACATTATGGAGACACTTTTTTGAGCACAATCCAGTGGCGGACTCGGTTTTTTTCTATATCGCTCCGATTTCGAGATATCGACCAAATTCCGATATTTTCAAATGAAACATCCTTTATATTAATAGCTCATTGGATAGCTCTGTTTTTGCTGATTTCAATGATATAAAGTTCGATAGGTTTATCTCTAACAGTTTTCCAGAAAAAAAAATATCTATTTCAGTCATAAGAAACAATGTGTTAGAAAGAGACCTTTCTCACTTTCCTTACACATATAAAATCCTTTTCTAACACATTGGTCCTTACGACAAAAACAAATATAATTTTTTTTCTCGAAAACTATTAGAGATAAACCCATCGAACTTTATATCATTAAAATCAGCAAAAACAGAGCTATCCAATGAGTGGATATATAGGGAGTTTCATTTGAAAATATCGGAATTTGGTCGATATTCCGGAATCGGAGCGATATCGGAAAAAATAGAGCCCGCCACTGGATTGTGCTCAAAAAAGTGTCTCCATAATGTTTTTACAGAAATGAAAAAAATTGATAAATAAAAAACTTATAGCCATTTTTCATAATAGGAGAAAATCAAAAATCGCCCAGTATTAATGGTACCATTGAAGATATCGCGATACGGTTTTTGACAATCGACGTTTCTCGAAAATCGATCCCATGACATCTAAGTCAATTTTCCTCTATCTGGTCTGGAAGTACGTTTTTCCTGTTGAAACACTCCAAATTGCAGTACCCTGTACAATGTTCATTCTCACTTTTGTTTTAACTAATCTTCAACACACATTCCATTGCAGGTGCAACGACGTGCCGGCTTGACTAGTCTTCCTGATCTGGTGGTGTATCTCTGGTGAGTGGAGTTATAGACTTCGGTCTTCTCCTCGGATCCTGGCTCAGATATTATGGAGTGATTGGAGTCGTTGTCACTTTCGGAGCTATTGCCTTCAAATTCTAGTCCACAGCTTTGTAATGCGGTTGAACCGTACTCTGTGTTTGTATCATCCTCTCCATCGTTACCCTATGATTCTGAGCTTGACTCAACATTGCAACTTTCGGGGAGTACCCAATTGGATATCTCTAGTCGAGTATCTGTCCCTTGCTCTAGTCTTATCATCGCTTCTGAGGTTACTTCTATAATTTATTGGCTTCTGTTTCGCCTGATGACGTTATTTTCTGCGGCGATAATGTATGTTCTAGATTCAGGTCCAACATCCATTACTTTCCCAAACATTTTCGTATCGGGTATCCAAACACTATCGTTATTTTTCAAGGTAGAATTTGATCTTGCTGCTCTATGTTGCTTATTAAAATTCAATGTTTGTTTGAACTTCTTTTTCGTTGCTTCTGACTTCCTTGTCGTTTATGTAGTTCCTCTTAGGGATAAATATGTCTCTGTTAGATGGAATTGAATTCCTAGGTTCTCTTTCCCATGATCAGTTCTGCTGGTGAAAATCCACTCCCTAGTTTTGCTGTTCTATAACTTAACAGCCCTAAGTTTGGGACTTTGCATTTTAGAATTATATTCTAGGTTATGTTTACAGCGGATTCCGCCTGCCCATTTGATTGAGGTTACATAGGACTGCTTGTGATGTGGGTGAATCCATATGTCTGAGCAAAATGTTTGAATATATGGCTAGAAAAACGAGGCCCATTATCTGATTTACATCAACTCCGACGATCTGCCAGGGATAATCTGGCATAGGGGAAGGAATCATTGGTTCAATTGCTGTATTCCTATATTGAATGCATGTTAAGCAATTGGTTACAATTTCTTTTATTTGGTTTGAGATTTTGGGCCACCACACCATTTCATTGGCTAGGCTTAAACATTTCGTCATGCCCAAATAACCCTCGTGTATTTTGTCCAAAATTTCCCTGCGTAATGTCGGGATGAATACCCTGTTGTTGGTGGTTACTAAGCTATCCAATATAACCATATCTCCTTGATATTGGTAGAACATTTTATCTTCGGTTGGTAAATCCTTAATGTGTGGCCAACCATTTTGTATATAAGTTATTATTCTCTTGGTTTAGACATCATTCTTCTGACATTCCAAGATACTTTTTATGCGCATGCCCTTGATAGGCATTGATTCACGAATATGATTTGCAAAATCTTCCACTTTTTCTATGAGTTCGTTGACGAATAAAATATCTGCTTCATGATCACTGGATTTTAGTGGAGCTCTGGATAATACGTCAGGCATTATCATGTTTCTGCCAGGAATATACTGTACGTCATACGAAAATCGCATCAATCTCATTCGCAATCTTTGGATTCTAGCTGATAGATCAGCTGATTGTTTGCTTCCTAGAAGTTCCACTAGGGGTTTGTGGTTAGTCAGGAGCATTAATGTTTGACCAAGAAGGTATTGAGCGAATTTTTCGCAGACCCAAGTCAAAGACAATGTTTCTCGCTTTATCTGCGCACATCGTTTCTCTGTGTCGGACATTGTCCTGAATGCGTAGCCGATAGGTTTCCAGACATCTTTATCCATTTGTTCCAGGACTGCTCCCAATCCATATGAACTGGCGTCCGCTATGACTCTTGTTGGACGTCCTGGAGCAAAATGTGCTAAAATTGGAGCTGTCGTAAGAGCTTTTTTTATACTTTCAAAAGCTCATTGTTGCGGCTCTGCCCACATAAATTCGTTGTTTTTTCGTAAGAGTTTAACTAGCCTTTCGAAGACTAATTGTAGGTGATTATGATGACTTTTTATGTCAGAGGAGTATATAATTATATCATCGAGATAAACTTTGCAAAATACATTGAGCAACCCACAGAGAACTTTATTAGTCATTAAGCGCTGAAACGTTCCAGTAGCGTTTTTCAAGCCAAAAGGCATCACTGTGAAGTGATAAAGGGCACCATCAGGAGTGGAAAATGCAGTATATTGCTTGGAAGAGTCATAGATCGGTCTTATGGAGTTGGACATTTTCGCTTATCCTGGAAGGAATTTAGTGTTAGCCTGTATGCAGCCCATCAGTCTTATAACCTTGCCTATATCGTTGTCGCTTATTATTACATGGTCGCTTTTTCCCAGGGGCTGTTTGGAATCACTAACCAAAAACAAGTCCAGCAATGATGCTTGATCGTTCCGGTGTCTACTGAATATTTGCAAAAGAAATATTCTTCATCTAAGGGTCCTAAGAACCTGATAGGATCTGGAATATTTTAAGAATCAAAAGAATTTTCTCAGAAAAATTGAGAAGTTTGCAAATCATCAACTCAAGATCTCAAGAACCTGGGGTGGAATCAAAAAATTCATAGAGTTTTCTCAAAGAAAACTAGAATCTAGGGTGTCATGTGTGCCTGCTTGTAGCTGTACTGATAATTTATCCGCTAACCCTGCTATTATTCTTAATTTAACCATTTCTTTCTCTAAATTACCCCATTCACAATTTTGGGCCATAGAGGTGAGATCTGCAATACAAGAGTCATAAGGCTCGTCTGGGTTCTGTGAACTTTGCAAAAATTTCACCCTCTCGTATACAAGATTTTTTTTTTGGATAACATTACTTTCAAATTTTACAGTGTTGAAATCTGCTTGTTGTGTTAAATGAAATGATTTTAAAATTTTCTCAGCTTTTGTGCCTAACAAACTGATCAGATAGTCAACTCGCTGTTCTGATGAATGATTACTAAGTACTGTTATTTGTATCTATTAAATGATTTTTTCCAGTCTTCCCAGTCCTCAGCTTGAAAAGAAAAGTGAGATGGAGGAGGAATTGTGGCCTGATACATAATCACCGGTGCTGAAGTGCAGTGTTTCCTGCATTTAGTAATTGCTGCTGCTGCAATCTTTATAACTGATTTATTAGGTCTTGTTGCTGATTAAATTAATCCGCACTCAATCTAATAGCATTTTCCTGATCACTAGCCATGATTGAAAAATGTGAAAAGAAGACGAAACAGTCCAAAAAGTAGTATACCTTCTTTAAAAGAAAAAATAAATAAATATTTTACAGTCTACCGATGTTGTAGTGGATCTGGCACCCGAAATACAAACACCTGGCTAGGTTCTGCGTTTTGCAGGCCGCTAAAATCTTCTCCGTTTTCACACTAAAAACCCGCACTATACCCAGTGGGATGAAAATTTACCATTTTTACCGGTACTTTTCGCCCGAAACACGAAAAAAATAACCGCTGTCACCATGTAGCAGCCTGTGGTACGCTTACTTGATATCAACTACTGCTGGGCCCTGCGCCAAGGGGTGCTATCTTGACTCTCGAGCGGCATTGCCGGCTCAAGTTCTCTATGCCACAAGGTGAGGTCAATCTAGAATCAGATCTACGAAAATGTTTGCTTCTCTTTCAGTCAACAGCGTTGTTCGTATAGTCAGTGGATTTATGCCAAGAGCTTCTAATATTAGCCAAAAGAAGAGAGGTAGGTACGAGTCTAACCGAGTATCGCTGGTGTTAATCCGCAGGTCGTATCTAAGTACTTGGATTGGGGATTGAAATTTCTTCTGGCCACTTATTTACTGACGGTTATAGTATGGGGGAAGGAACAGCGATATCTGATGCAATTCTCTCTAAAATTGAACCAGGAAAGTACTAACTCATTCCTCTTTACTCTAAATTATGTCTATATGTAGACAGAAATTATGGTGCCTATCTTACATCAAACACAATGGTCGCATCTCTTGAACTATTCTTCTACCAGTTCCATTCTAGAGAATTCCGCTCTATTTTTGAAAGTCCTGGTACCAAAATAAACGTGAGTTGGTCAATAAGAAGTCATGAACTCTCTGCTGTGTCGACTAGAAAGCAGCACATTGTATACAGGGTGATTTACGTAGCACGTGCATTAGCTTGCAGGTGGATAAGATGCTATTTCTGCTATCCACCTGAAAACAGGAAAACTTCTAATGCACGGGCTACGTAAATCAGGTTGTATATCCTTTATTTCAAGTCTTAAGATGCTGAGACTTCATATTTCGGGATGAGGGATCATCATTTAAATTATTCTGAATTTTCCAGCAGGAGTTGCCAGAGTATGCAAAATTTCCTCAACTTATAAAAAATGTGAATCTAGAAACCTATTTTTGTTCAGTTTTGGACAATTGTGAGTCAATTTATATACGATAAATGTTAATTTTTTCATTTATTCACAGGAAGCATTCTCATAAGACAGCCCTACAAACAGCGCGGCCATTATATCTTCGACTTACGCAGAAGTATCCAGGGCATAATATTAACCAAATATTTTTTTATTTAGAAGGTACATAAAACTGAATCTATATGTGTGTCATCTGACCTATACAAAAACTGTAAACTGAAAACTTGAAAGAAACCATCCAGATAATTTTATTTCTCTTTTCTCAAAAAATTGCTGGCACACTAAGATACTTTTTGTAAAAATTATTGTCTTGTTGTCAGTGAACTAAACCAAAAAAAAACTATTCATAAGCCTTCCTCCAATTACCAGTCTAAACGCGGAAAAGAGAAACACGTAACAACATCGAAGCTTTTTCGAGGTATATATCAAGTCTTTAAAGAAGATAATCCACTAGAAAATTTCGTTGAAAAAGTATCGGCGTGAAATAAGTTACTTTTTTTCCCAGAGACTATCAACGAAGGGAATCGTTTTTAAATAACATTCACGTGAAAGAGTTTGTTTATTATTGTCAATTTTGGGATCAGAATTGTAATTATTTATTATTTTGTAATTTTGGATCAAATAAATGAACATTGGGATACAAGTTTCCCTAAGATAAGTTCTTGAGATGCCATTTGCAATAATTCATCTCTATTATTTCTTGTCACAATAGAGTCTGCCAAGCGTCAAATTCAATTTAGAACAATCTGAAAAGTCGACAGGACAACTAATTAGTTTGACAACTTGTGTGGCACGGGACTTGAGCCACAAATTAAATTATTCCAATTATCGTTTAACTCTCCGGCATGAATTTTATCTTTTTTAAAATGAAAAATAAACTCTATGTACAATGTGTAATGCAGAATTTGCCGCAAAAATGGGATGGATGGAAAGTTATTGAAAAGTGGTAATCTTAGCAGGAATCTCGGACTATAGGATTTTTACGTTATATTTAGGATGACGACACATTTAGTAAATTTCTGCTGCCAACCTAACAAAACTAAAAGTACTTTTTCACGCATTTGAAGTAGGGGAATTTCAGATGTTTTTGGTTGGCAAAGGCGCGCAACGTTGCATGACTTGCATAAACATTTTCATTTCGTTATTTTCAGCTGTCGTCAGAATTATTGACACATAACATTCTGGTAAATTATAAGAAAGAAAATAGGCATTGACAACATTGTCAGTCCTTGTTCGATGACGTCATCTTAAATGTAACATAAAAAACCTATATTAATACACGATGTTTCTCATCTAAGCCATCTAATAGGATAACATACAAAAAGAAATCTAAGGAATACGATACAAAAGACCCCATTTTTCTAGCATTACGTTGCCAATTACTTGGCATAGAGTTTATTGTATATGGTGTATGTCCTACTTTGATTTTGATCCAAAATTACAAAATTATTATTATTGTCAAATGTTACAGGAAACAGTTACACTAGCAGTATCTTTCAACAACATTGACAGATACTTTCCGTAACTGTTTCGTAGGATTTGGTCAGCTTTCAGTATCGATTTCTGTCAAATCTCTACCTTTTGTCTCCGGTACGCAACAAACGACGAAACATAGGCCGCATACTGCTACAAAAGCGTACAACCAAAACGCCCCGTACAATCCTAACCATTCTTGAAAATCTATAAAAGTTTTGACCCCTACAAATGCGCACAAGTAGCTGAAACATGTGGCCAGGGCTGTACCTAGACCACGATGTTCTAGGGAAAAAAGTTCACTTACTAACAACCACGATATCGGACTTATACCCAAAGAAAAGGCCACTGTAAAAACTAAAACGCATAGTAATGGAATCCAATCTAAATTGGGTACAGATTTCGGATTAGCTTCTTCGTAATATGCAAAGGAGCCAAAGGAGGCTAATGCTAAAGACATTAGAACACTAGAAGCTACCAATAAGGGCAACCTTCCAGCGCTATCCACAAGCAAACCAGAAAGAAGCGAGGACAATAGTTGGACAACAGCCACAGCCACAGCAGCACCGTGGGGGTTAGTACCACCGAAAGTTTCTTTAAAAACGCTTACTACGTAAAAATTGAAGGCATGAGCTCCAGAGAAGCGTTGAAAAAACATAAGGCCGCAAGCTATCAAAGCTGGAGTTCTAAGAGTTTGCAACAATAATTTAGGATTACTAGGAATCCTTTTGGACATAATATGAGCTTGAAGTATGGATAACTCCAATTGTAAATCAGCGTTCTCACCTCGGAGCCATCGCAGTGCTTTTTCAGCTTCGCTGTCATAACCTTTTAATACCAACCAGCCGGGACTTTCAGGTATTCTAAGCATTGCCAAACACATGGCGGCAGGAGCAAACGATATTAGTCCAGCCAATTGACGCCAGTCTAGAAAAGCTCCAGCAGCGAATGCCACGAGGACTCCAGCGTGGCCCGAGATCTTCAAAAGGGCGCTCAACCCACCTCTGATTGAAGGGGCTGCAATTTCACTTACATACACTTGGGCTGCTAGTTGGACGATAGCTACTAGGAAGCCGCTGGTGAAAGCTGCGACGCACATAATCTAGGGATAAAATTAAAAGTTATTTAACTCACATAGACATAAGACTTTCAGTCTGCTTCACTATTAAAGTATTTTATGTCTTGAGAACGGAAAAATAGTTTTTAGGTATTGGTCTGGCATCAAAAGAAAAAAGTTGGAGTGATTTATGGTACATGAATCTGTAATGGAAACTACGCTTAGGCTTAGGCTATATGGCAAAATAAAATTGCAAATTAAAAACTATAGTTACCTCTACACTAACAGCAAAAACCGTCAGAATCCAGCATAGTGACAATGGTATTCCAGCCATAAGTAAAGTTCTCCTCCTTCCCCATTTCACTGCAAAACCGCCAAGCGGTGCCCCAAAAAGGGCGCCCAGAAGACTTAATGAGGCTAGCCACGAAGCTTGCTGGCCGTTCACATCGAAAGCTTTGGCATCGCGTTGTTGCAGCGAGGCTATAGCCGGAGAACTATATCCTTTTCCCAGTCCAGACGCTAGGGGTCCCAATGAGACCGCTAAGGAGGCTAGGAATTGACCAAGGTATTCGGGTTTACCGGTGACGAAAAGTTGTCTGCCAGGCCGAGCCAGCTAGGAGGAATAGCAATAAACATTTAGGTATAAAAATATTCACATAACAAGAAATTGCTTGATGATTTCATATAGAATAATTAATTTGGGAATTTTTAATAGAAATATCTACTCAATTATTAAACTTTTATCAAAATTACGTAGATGGTGCAGCAGCATCATCTACCACTGCAACATTGTCAGATTTATTGTGGTATCTCATGCCTAAGGTCACACTTCTTTCCTATCCGGTATGGCGAACAGAAAGTGCCTGCTGAAGAAGAAAAGAGGAATGATTTTATCTGAAAGCATCTCGTAAAAGGAGGCGACCTCCTCTATCTTCCAAAGCATGATCCTTTGGTGTTTTATATAATCGGACCTTGGCCTTGTTTGAGTCTTTAACGTACTGCCTTCACTTCACCATGTATGTAGATATGTAGCGGCGGCAGGTTTAGCAACACCAAAGACTCCCCAGGCAACCGAACCGAAGGTTATCATTGGCCCTAATACCATTTTGTACAGCCATAGGTTAATCCTAGGGTTAAGCCCCCAGCTTTTTCGGCAGGGCCTTCTGCATCTCACAAGGCACGATTTTACCTTCTAAACGACTTTATTGAGGTTTAGACCCCAGGTCATTTTTTGGTCAAAGATGACTCCTAGGTAATTGACCTCTTTCGAGAAGGGAATTTCTACTCTGGTAAGCCTGGGGCATCTAAGCTCTCTTAGTACTCTTAGGAGCATGAAATATTTTCTTCTCGAGCGATTTTATTAATCTAGAAACTTTAGGTTGAACTCTGGGTTGGACCAGAAAGTCTTGTACTTGCAGAAATATTGAATAAAACCGATAAGAGAACGCATTAGATGGTTGCGGTCCAGGATTCGCCCCAACTGCGCATCCACCATATGTCACATAGGGACTTATCCCTTAAGTTCATAACCGGAAAATGCCTCTTCCATATATTTTTACCTATTTTGGTTGTTCATCCATGTTTTCTCTGCTATCTTCTGGATGTTATCATACCACTGCATTATTAAACATCCTGGATTCCTCTTTCCACCCCGAGGTTTGACAAGAAAATGTATAGGAGCGATTTTGTAGCAAATACTTTTCATTGTAAACATTTTACCAAGACCTACATTATTTTGCCACCCATGTTTCAAGATTGCAGCGCCAATTTAGCACCTCCGACTCTACAATCTTGCCAAGTTTCAAAACTCCTCAACCTTTGCATCGAAACATCATTATCATGTTTCTAATGAATGACCCAATAGTTCAATTTCCACCAAAGATAATTTTGTTTTCATGTAATTCGTAATAGTTTCATCCAACAGATCTATTTCCTCATAAAGCATATTTCACCAAATCCAAGTGTAAATTAGAATCAAATCTTTGCAATGAGTTTCTTGTCAATCAATAACTGTTTTCCTAATAAGTATAGTATCTAGGATGAGTTCAGAAAATAGTAGATGAAGATCATTTTCATGGGCTTTTTTCAATTAAAATAAGGGAATTCATATTTTGAAATATGCTGATAATCCACCGTTACTATGAGAAAAATCAAATAGGTAAGTGTTAATAATTAATTTTATCCCATTTTGACGTTTAAAAATGACATTATTCAACGCATAACAATAAAGGTAAGTAGACGTTTATCACCTCAGTGATTTAAAAAGATTTTAACTCACTCTCGGCATTTTAAGTCACTTAGCCCAACTAAACATTTGACACCTCAGTGATTTAAAATATTTTTAACTCACTTCGGCATTTTTCCTTGTACTTTATTTTTTAAATTTCCACAAAAAGGGATAAAATTTTGTATACATCACGTGAGTTAAAATGTTTATTCATTCGAAGAAAATTAACCCACTTGCTAGGGCTCGTGGGTTAAACTTTCTTCTCATGAATAAAAATTCATTTAACTCACTTGGTGTATAAATAACTATTATTTGAAAATCTTATGTAAATCTTTCCATAGTTGACTTTAAAAAGAAATCTTATTATACATTTTTGTATATTGCGGATGTTTACAACACGACACTTTCATCCCTCAACAAAGGCCGAGAAATCTGTCACGTAAGAATAATGGATTCGCGCTAGGAGATGATTTTGTGCCATCATCATTTTTAAATCCACTTTTCTATCATAAAAATTCATCTTAGGGATGATAAATTGCTGAGACGGGAATAAACAAGACACTATTTTGTAGAGGGTTTTGTGCTAAAAAACGTCAATAAAATAATTATTATCCAAAGTCTAATTGCGTTGCAAGATTTATCACTGCAGCAACAGAATCACAGCAACGTTAATTATTCCCCACATATTGCACGTTTGTCCAATAAGGATATGCATAATCCAGTTTCAGGAGCTATTGTAAATCAAATGCGCAATTCAATTTGTGGATGTTAGTCAGAAATCCGCTGTTACATTAGCAAGATTTAAATTTACGCTTTTGCCTCTGCATGGATGAAAAACGTTAGTTATAGCGATAGCTTTTGGAACGTATTTACACAAAACCCACTCGGCTCTACTGGATAGAGAAGACTTTAATCCGATTAGTGACTGTATTTGATTTCAAGTTTGGACAGACGATATTTTCAATTTTGATTAAAGTAACAATGAATTCGTTCTATTCAATTATTGGTAATACCTACATTATAAATTATAATTTGTATTTTTTTTTTTAATAAAATTTTATTAAACCTAGAACTGTTGGTCACGGTTGAAGCTGATATTAAGAGTCTGGTCTGGTCTTCGTCTGAACAGAACTTAGCAAATCAGTGCTAAATTTAAGATTGCATTTGACGTCGTTACAGCTTGTTCCAACCGCTCAAGCACTGGTACCCTTCCAGATATTTTGTGCGTGACACTGCTTCTAGTTGGTGTCCAAGAATTTTAGGCTTCTTCCAAAGGAGGTCAGCTTCTTGGACGGTAAAGTGCCCACCTCTTGGGGAGTTAGCCGTACCCCTTTTGCAGAAGTGAGCAGGGCATTCACAGATTAAATGTTCTGTAGTTTCTGTTGCTTGTTCGCAAGATCTGCAGTGGTCGTTTTCTGATTTGCCTGTTGTTGTAAGGTGATCTTTTACCAGGCAATGCCCAGTGAGCAGACCCAACGACTGTTCTAATATCTCTCAACTGTTCATGTTAAGAAGTTGTTCAGATCTCTTTGGTGAGATGGATATGAATCTTTTTGCTTGACGCAGACCCGGAATAGATCTCCAATGAGCTAGCATTCGGCCCTTTCCCCATCTGTTCATTTCTTCGGTGACGTGGCTTTTCATTAGTTCACAAAAGGCTCTGGGCCTTGAAATAGTTATTTACATTCCAAGCTGCGAAAGCGCACTTTTAGGTGCGAGGTATATTCAAATAGCCGAGGCTATTTGAATACTTCCGAGCACCCAAAAGGGCTTTTGCAGCGTGTAATGTATTAAACTTCTCATTCTTCCCCCTTAAAAATATATTTTTTTTTTTTTAAATCTTGAACAGGCACGCGAAAATGAAAGTAACTACTAGTATGTTTTACTTTTTTTTTTACTTCGTAGGGGGTAGAATGAAAAGATGTTAAAGCGCCTTGCTTTGCGAGACGGTATGCCTCTGTTCTATACCCTGGTGTCCTGGCACCCACATCAGGGTTACTTTGTTAACCCCAGCAAGTTACTTAAGGATATTATTAGCCTCCCAAACTTGACTGTGGGACAGTATGTTAATGTGCTCTCCTAAAAGGTACTTGCTGGTCCAGAAGTTTATGGCCAGTGCCTGGGCTTGAAATTTTGTGTGCGATTTACTGTAGTTGTAGCAATCAAAATTATGTTGGTACAGTTTGTGTCGCAGGTGGGCAACACATAACATTTTGTTGAAGAATGACATGACATATTAAAAGTCAGTAACTTGTCAATAATCTACCAAATGAGTGCCACAATGAGTGCATGTGTGTCTAGTTTTCGCTCCTTAATCATTCCAACAACTATAATAATTACAAATTCTTTTCCACTATCTGTGTTTCATTACTTCCACCAACTTCCTCCACAGGTTATGCCGCCTAGCAGGTTTAATATTGTGGTAGTAATTTCAAATTTTTTCGTACAGTGTCATAGTGAAAAAGGAAAATGGAGGTGATCGCTAGCAAATTAAACAATTCCAACTGGAATGTATGGAAATTTCAAGCTAAACTAGTGTTGATGGCGAAGGGGCTTTTTGAAATTACCTGTTGTAATGATTTCATACCTGAAGGAAATGAAGCAACAATTGCTAAATGGAAAATACAAGATGCTTGTGCCCAAGAAGCACTTGTTCTTCGAATGGAAGAAGACATTATATCCCATGTAATGCAGTGTGAAACCGCACGAGAAATGTGGCAAAAATTGGAAAGCATCTTCGAGAGAAAATCAGAGGTCAGTGTTCACATGTTAAATGAGCAATTTTATAACCTGAAGTTCCAAAGTGAAACGGTAAATAGTTTCATCTCCAAAGTAACAAAGTTGCAAGCAAAGCTCAAACAATGTGGTGAAAATATTCCTGAAACAATAGCCAATTTCAAGCGTTAGACCGATTTTGACCGATCGGTCATCTTGACAGATAAACCATTAATTAAACGTCATTTTTCAACCAATTGGTCTTAGCTGACGTTAAATGCATTGTTTATCTGTCAAGATGACCGACGGGTCAATCGCTCGAAATTAGCTAATGATTCTTACGAAAATCATAATGGCGCTTCCTGACAAGTTTCGTCATTTCCGGTCAGCATGGAAGATTGTCAGCTCACAAATTCAAACTCTGAATAATTTGACAGCTCGTCTTTTAATTGAAGAGGAGCGGCTGACAAGAGATGAGGAACAATCTGTAGTACTGATGACATTTCATCGCGCAACAACAGCTGGTCAAACGTAAAGCAAAATGTAAACAATGTTAACCGAAACCGAAAATGTTATGTTTGTGGTAAGGTGGGTCACCTAAAAAGTCAGTGCCAGAATATCGAATGCAGTTTTGCAAAAGAAAGGGGCATATGATGTGTAACATTTGAAAT